TTTCGGGTCAAAGGGTTAACCCGAACCCGACCCGATTTTTGAAACGGGTCAAAATGCTGAACCCGAACCCGACCCGTTTCGGGTTCGGGTTGACCCTAACCCGAAATTTTCGGGTCGGGTTCGGGTCGGGTTTTCGGGTCGTGTCAAATATTGACACCCCTACTTATAGTAGAATAGAGCAGCTCGATGAGACTCATCCAACGAGCCAATATCACTTAATTTTCATATCATTTAGGCATCTAAATGCTAAAACAATGATCTATGGTCGAGGTAATCAATCAAAGACATTCGATAGAATGTTCCAGATTTGCTACTGATTTCTTTCATATTTATGGGGTGTGTCACTCCCAAAAATCTAGAAATAGACCCACACTTCTTAAATGAGGGGGCTTTGGTCAAAGATTGAAGAGAGCTTTGAGGCTTCAAGTATCCCAAAGCTCTACCCTTCCACCGATCACTGCTCAACCACTAACCGTCGTCGAACATTCGTCTGTTCGTCAACCACCACCAGACCTCCGCCATGCCACAAAATGTCATCAGACCTCAGCCTGTCCCCTGACTGTTGACCGTTGTCGAACCACTGCTCTTATGTTTATCATCACCAGATCTCTGCCCAACAACTGAACACCGTCGGACCTTCCCCCAGCCACCGATCACTAATAGATCTCTACTTGACCGTTGTCATCTCCAAACCTCAACTTTGTCGTCTTTGTTGTCGAACCTCCACCCAACCACATATCATCGTCGAACCACCTCCCATCTACCAACCACAACCTGACCTCCACCCGGTCGTAGATAATTGGCAGACCTCGACTTCGTCGCTGTAGTTGGCGAACCTCCACCAAACCTTTACCTGATTGTTGCCACAAGATCGACTTGTGAATTACGTTGCCTATTGACCTCAGTCCTCAAACCACTGTCAGCTGACTACGATTTTTCCAACCCCTGTCGCCCGACCACGATCATTCAGACTCCTTGACATTCGTACGAATTTTATCTGATTCTTCATGTCATTTTAATTTCACCGTCTCTAAGTAAAGGGGCTAGTGAACATTTATAGCTAATTCTAATATAGTATAATCTATTCACTTAGGCAAAGCCCCGTGGTTTTTCTCATTTTGGGTTTTCTACATAAGAAATTTCGATTGTTTCTTGCACTCTCAAATAATATGTTTGTGTGCTAGATATTCGTGATCATTAAGGCAGAAATCTATCTCACTCTACCACTGCGAATCTACTAACCCACAAAAAAATATATTGAAGATTTTCAATTTTACTTTCTATGATAATTATTATATTGATTAAATGTAAACATTTAATATTTTTATTTTATAATTTGACAATACATATCTTCATTATTCGTATATTATTTTTCTAATAAATATAATGTAATTTCATGTTATTTAAATGCAATAAAAAACATCACATGTTAATTTTTTAGAGGTCAGTCTAATAAAAATTAGATGAGAATATTTTGACCCAATTTTTTTCAACAAAAATAATTAAAATATTTCAACCGAAAATATGTACCCGAAAGTTTAGGATATAATGTTAAAACTTAAAACTATGAATTATATTTGCTTCCTCTGCAATTATATGTGAAGTAGCCAGTCTATGTTTACACAACTCCATAAAAGTGAAGAAACAATGACTGAGATTTACAATTTATTTGAATTAAAAAAATATATATAAAAAGATTATATAAAGCAGAATGGATCTGAATTATAATATTGTAGAGTTCTTTTAGGCCTCGTTCGGGACGGCTTTCGTACATAGCAGTTTTTTAGTATAAAATTTTTAATTTTTGTTAGAAATTTATTTTAAAAACCAATAAAAAAGTCGTCTCAAACGAAATCTTAATATGTTTATCCTGCTTATTTAAAATATTTGTTGCAAATCAACTTGGCAAGTTAATAAGTATAAAAAAATGCCAGATCTCCATTTCTGAATCAAAGAGTTCCAATAGCATGAAGTGAAATGAATGGATTGGAGAAAGGGAGAGTGCTGCTCTTGTTCATTAGCTCCCACATGATTGATTGCTTGGTGCTTACAATACCGCTAGGCTGAGCATAATTACAGATGAAAGTAATGGAAGCTTTCAAAGTTGGTTTCTGACAGTACAGTGTGCGCTTGCGCAGGTGAAGTAAATTAGGCGTTTGAGATATTGTAGGGATTCCCAAAAGAATTGAGGTGCAAGCACATGTATTAAGTGCATCATAGAGTAAAAGAGGCGTAGGATTTAGAAGTTGACTGGTCTCGCTTGATTTGGCATAAAAATCATTCATTTAGATACTACGTATTTACTTGGATGGCATTGTATGGTGGGCTCAAAACCGCTGATGCTCTGCGCTCTAGAAATATCGATATTGGGAATCAATATTCTTGCCCTCTTTGCCATGGTCATAACGAGATACTGCCCACCTTATGTTTGAGTGCGACTTCTCTTTTCAAGTAATAACTAAGCTTATTCCCCTTTTCAATAATTTCTTATTAAGACCCAACATCGCTCCAGCACTACAATATATTGATGGTCTACACATTAACCGGGACGTTAAGAATGGGATTCTTCTTATTTTTCATGCTGTTGTCTATTTCCTTTGGAATGAACGTAATAGTAGGAAATTTAATTGAAGAGCTGCTTTTGTGCCATCACCTTATCTAAGAAGATTTCTAGAGCAGTTTATCTTAAGCTAGAAAGGTGGAAATGGGAAAAATTTATAAAAGAGAGGTTACTTTTGTCATGCAGTTGACTGTTTTGAGCACTTTTTGCTTCCTTCGTTTTGTTCGCTGATGGGTTCATTTCTGGATGCCTGTGTTGCCTGTTGACTACCGTCTTAAGTTTGTTTGTCTGGCTTTGTGCGAATGGGTTTGTTGGTGGCACTTTCTTGCTTGCCCAACCTGTTAGTTCTCTGCTTCATGGAATTGGACCATGTAACCGTCGTTGTTGGCATTTTTGGTTTTGGCAGGCAATTTTTAGACTGTGGACAATGATGACAACTGTCACCTACTTTTTGGACGATCTTCAGGCAACCAAATGAGAGTTTGATTGCTTTCTATGATCTTATCTGCATTTCTTGAATCCTGGCCAAATAGTGTATCTGTCTGTTTTTTATTTTGATTTTGTATCTCCTCTTTGGTTTGCATTTGCTCCTCCTGTTTTTTTTATCTTAGCCACTTTTTCGTACCTTGGATAAGTTTTGTTACACTTTGTACCTAGTTCTTTTTTATAGAATGGGCTAAGCCCTCAATTCCCCCGCCCCCCCCCAAAAAAAAAAGGTGGTGTAGGATATTAGAATGGTATTCAATCATCTAGTTCTAGGTCAAATGGTATACTTATTGATTTTTAGGGTATTGATAGGTATCAAGTTCTACTTCAATATTTTTTTTTTTTTTTTGTTAAAATTCAGAGAGGGCCTATGCATTAATTAAAAAGGGGAATTATAGATCTTTAAAGAACCATAAGCTCAACTAAAAATATAGTCTTTGAAATAAAACCTAAGAGCTACTAGTTCTATCTATTACAAATAAACACCAAAAAAAAAAAAAAACATAATAAAGCTAGTCCCAATGACTGATAAAATTAAAGATTCAGCAACTAGGTACCAGCCATTCCAAGAAGATCCATAACAATCAGAAGGAACAACATATAGGAAGAAGGACGAACAAACTAGCCAACCAACAGGAGAAGGAGCCACCAATAAAACTGCAAGAAAACCTGCGGAAAAATGAAAGAAGCAAAACCATCAAGCATCCAACCAAATCATCAAAGATCAACCAGAAAGCAATCCACATAAATAAAAAATAAGGGTTTGTTTAGGATAATTTTCTTAATGTTTTATTTTTCAAATAGCAACCATAATTTCGTTTGACTACTGTTTTATTACTGTTTTTTTTTAATTATAGTAAAAATTTATTTTCTACAATTATAGTATCGAAGTTACTTTCTCCACTACAACATAACAACCAACTTTATTAAACGTCGTACCTATCCCAAACAAATCCTAAGTTCATAATTGAATTTGTGCATTTTGTTATGTGTTTGACATTGTAATTTTATTATTTATAATTGATCTCATGCCCTATTTTACTGTTAATAAAAATTTTTGGAGATTGATTTCTATATTTTTTTATATCAAAATGATATTTCAACATGATTCTTATAGCCTAAAATTCGTGCTTATATATAATTTTTTTGCAATACATGAAATAAAAAATAGAATAGTAAAAATCATAAATGGAAAAAAGGTCAAGAGTTGATTTGATTTTTCAGAACTTTTCATGCATGCGTCGTATTGCTGAATGAATTTTTTTTGAAGAAGAATAGCTAGTCATTGGTCATTGGCCATTGACTTGCATTGTGGTGTAATAAGATGAGGAGAAAGCTTGACTTTTATTTTCTTGAGTGGATTAAGATTAGCTAGCTTCTATAATCACTTGTATGATTACCTAAAACTCAATGGTTAAGATCTGTAAATCTATAATGTCATACTTCATATTTTGTTCTCCATATTTACTTATTCCAATTGGTTGTAGAGCTCTCCTACATCATACTTAAGATAAACTTCCTTCCTAGAGAGATAAGAATGGCATTTCTTCTTCTCTCAACAAGTTCTAAGTGTTTTGAGTAAATTCTTTCATTTTCTTGATCACCCTATTTTTTATATTTCTCTTGAAAATTTGAAGCTTCTAGATTTCTTCATCTTGACCAACTTCTTCCCGACTCTTCTGAGCATTTGATTATGGTTGCTCACCAAAAAGATCAAATATTATATAGCAACTAATTAGAAAAGAAAATCATTTTTTTTTTGCGCTCTTCACAAAATTTAGAGTCCCCTCACCTAAAATCATGCCTCTGAAACTCATACGCTAACTCAAACATAACCTTTGCAATGGCCCTTACAAGAATTTTTTCAGACTAGTTGGAGGTCCTTTACGTCTAGAAGTCTCTCATCAACATTCATTTCTCCTAACATATGGAATTAGGTCAATTTTAGACTACTTCGCAATTCGCATGAGCTTTCTCTACCAAATTAATATCCATTGTATGTATAAGATCACATGATATTTTCTAGCCTTGTCATTTCTATTTGTATTGCCTCATTGCCATATCTAGGTCCAACATGAGCTTTTCCTCTATCTTTTTTCTTAAATAATGAGCGCTAACCCTTATTCATGATGATGAATTATAGACTCCATAGAAATTTGTAGCATAGGAAAATTGAATAGCCATGTTTTTATTTTTAAAATATTTGACTCTTTATAAGTTTTCAAAAAAGGGAAAATAAAATTCAAATCAAGTTTTAACTTTATATTAGAGCCATGCATGTGTTAGACAAAATAGATATTTGGTGGATTTACATTGCTAAAGATAATGATGGCCATTAAAATAGAAGCATAAAGTTAAGTGTTGTAGTGATGAGGATGCTCAAGTGGATGTGTGGCTTTACTCTTGGAGACAAAATGTGAAACGAGTATGTACGTGAAAAGGTTGGAGTAGCTCTAGTGGCATTTACATTAGAGAGAGTCATCTTAGATGATTTGGACACATAAAATCATCGTCCTTTCCGATGACCCGATTGAAAGAGTAAATGTATAGGATTTGGCCTATGTTAAAATGGTAGAGGTAGACCAAAATAGATTTGGCTAGAAAATATACTTGGATACCTCCCAAAGAGCAAAGCAATCATCTTTAATGAACTCAATCGCCCGGTTGGTTTTTTCTCAGATATTGGTTAAGTCACTTTCATCTTTAATGAACTCAAGCATAAAGTCATTTATTGTCTCAAACAATGGTTTAAGCCATTTTTATGAATTATGCATACGATCAACATGCGAGATACTTTTGGACCTCCAATCACCATATCTTTGTCACTCTGCAACACTTAGCACTAGATCATTTATGTCTATCACTCAATACCTATCCTTAGATCACCTAATGTATAAAGTAACTTATTCTTGCAAGGTGGAAGGATCAAACTATAATAGCCTTATATGACTGCATTTTTCATCTCACACAATAGGAATTTTCATTTCTTCTCGTCTTTACTCTTGTCTCTTAAATTATAATGCTTTTCTTTCACTATTCTAAATTCTCGAATTGTTACCATTCTGCCACTTACTCATTTGAGTGGTCTAAAATTTTTGTTATTCATAAATCGGCTCCTCTAACAATTAAATAATGAAATTCAATATTTTTTTTAAAAGATTTTTTGACAAATTAAATGCAAACTGACGTAGTGCTCATTATTATCACAGATAGCCATCAATATCTTAAACAATATTAAATAAAAAGACACAACTCTCCTTGGCCTATTGGTTGAGAGCTAAGGCTTCCAACTTTGGTTGGTTGAGAGCTAAGGCTTCCAACTAAGAGGTCTAAGGTTTGAGTCTCTGTGTATGCGTTGTGTGTGTGAAACGTCTTAAATGGCCTAAATGTCCAAAAAAAAAATATTAAATAAAAAGAAATATATTTTATTTAAAATATAAAAATATTTTTATTTTATATAAAATAAAATAAAGATAAAATAAAAAGTTAAAAAAAAAAAAAAATAGAAGAGGATCCTAAATGACCCTCTTTACTACCTCTTTTATTTTTTAAAAAAATGTATTATTATTTTGATATAATTTATTGAACAAAAAATAAAAAATGCTTGAAGCTAAAAAATAAATAAAAAAATAAAACATCAACATTATTTAAATAAATGTCAAAATTAAAAAAAATATTTTTTTTTCTTATTGAAAATAAAATATTCTTATAAAAATTTTCCTTAAATCTACTCTATTAAGTTTAAGGGGCGTTTGGCAAAAGTGGGATTTAGTAAATCCTGTAAATTGAATTTTAGTAAATCCTAAATATATAAATCCTGAAAATTGTTTGGTATGCAATTGTTAAATCAGGATTTATAGCAGTTAGGCATTTAAATGAGAAGAAGATAATTATAATATAAAAATAAATTATAATTAAAAATAAAAAATAATGTGTTATAAATTTAATAATATATTAAGTACAAATATCCCATTAATTATTTATTTATATATTAATTATATATTAATAATAAGATATATTAATTTTATTTATTAATCTATATATTAATATTATTATTAATTTATATTAAATTAAATTAGATAATTAATTTATGCACTAATTATACCATTAACTATTTAATTAATTTACTTAAGAATTAATAATTTAAATTATTAATTAATTTAATTAATAATAACTTAGAGGCGTCTAGGGTTTGCCTTTCATCTTCTCTTTTCGTCGTTGCTGTTCGGCTCCGTTGCTTTCGCAGGAGGTGTAGAGATTGCAGGCGTCGCTTCTTCGGCTCCTTCGTGGCTGTTCGACTTCGCTCCTGCGACGACTTCAACCCGGATCGGAAGTTACGGCATTTTGATCGGAAGCAAGAACGGGAGCTCGCTGGCTGTGAAGGTAACTTTCTCCCTTTCGCGCGCTTTTTCGGCTACCCCTCGGATTTACTAAATCCCGGGTTTAAGCTGTAAAGCCGTAAATCCGGGATTTACTGAATCCCGGGATTTAACGCGCGCGCAAAAACTGTTTGGCTGGATTTAGCGTAAATCCGACTTAAATCCCGCTGTTAATCCGATACCAAACAGCCCCTAAACCTTTTCGCCACTAACGTCCTTGATTTGTCAAAGAAAGTTAAATAAATATTTAAGCAAACCACCACGCTTCTAATTGAATTTGCAGAGCCGCAAGTTTCGCCCTAAACTCGTGCAAAGGCCGACACACTTCCTTTTCCGCCGGTTACAACCTAAACTCGTGGCCTTTTGCAATGGAAGCATACAGCTTGAAGAAGAAGACGAAGAAAAGGAAGCGCAAGCCGAGCTACGAAGTCCAAGGGGAACAGCTGAGCGACCCAGCTGTCGATACCGCTGAGGAGGAGGTGGAGCGGCATGAGAATAACCAGAAAGATGACGTCCCCTGTGATTTATCTGGCGGTGGAGATGAATATGAGGGAAATGGAGAAACAACGGGAGGAAATGGAGGAGGCGAGGGAGAAGAAGCTCCGGCATCTAATAAGCTGAAGGCGGGGACGAATAAACGGTGCGGAATCATGACCAATGAGCCCTTCTCCTCTCTCCCGATCGCCGAGCCCACAAAGGAAGCCATCAGGGAGATGGGTTTCGTGAATATGACCCAGGTTAAGTGTAATCCCCTCACTGATTTTTTTAATATGAAAGATTGATGGCAATGAGGTCGATTGATGTTTTTTTAAATGAGGTGTTGGAGTAAGCTGGGGTTTTTCTTTCTGTGCTATTTTGCCTTCTTTTTCTGTATGGAAATTCACGAGTTACTGGTTTTATGGAGTTGTTGGTTCAGTTTAGGTTCCTTTGTTACATGAGTTGTTGTCGTGTGTGGGCTTCTTGTAACAAATTGGAATTTATTGCTTGATATTCTATGCAGATTCAAGCTAGAGCCATACCTCCTCTCTTGATGGGCAAGAATGTTATGGGGGCTGCAAGAACGGGCTCTGGAAAGACGCTTGCTTTTTTGATACCAGCGGTTGAGTTGCTTTATAATATAAAGTTCTCTGCAAGGAACGGCGCGGGTGCTATCATAATTTGCCCAACTAGGGAGCTTGCTATTCAGGCATGTCTCATTATTTTCTTTCGAGCATAGTTTATTGATTTTTTTTTTATATATATTTATAAGTTTTGACAGTTCATGCCAACTCAAAAATGAGAATTTTGTTTTTTCCTCATGGATCGCTGGTCCTTTTACTTGTTAGACACATACTGTGGCGAAGGACCTATTGAAGCACCATTCCCAGACTCTAGGGATGGTTATTGGAGGTGCAGCGCGTAGAGGGGAAGCTGAACACCTTGTTAAGGGAGTAAACATATTAGTAGCTACTCCTGGCAGGCTTCTTGACCATCTTCAAAATACTAAGGGATTCATTTATAAAAATCTGAAGGTAAATGTTCTTCTTATTTCCAAGCGATTCAAAATAAAAATTTCTGATAACATTCTATAATTCTTCTATCCCCCATGAATGACTGTTAATTATTAAATTGGTGGTGCTATTTGTTCGATGGCAATGAGTCAAAATCATCCTATTTTATAAACATTCTATGATAATAGACTAAAAAAAAACTAAACAAGCTCTCCATTTGATATATACGTGTATTTTAATTGTAAAAATATTATGGGAGTAATCTTTCATTGTTCTAGATACTAGGGGGGTTTACATACTACACAATTGCATTGCGTCCTTTCTTTTACATATAACTGGATTTGATAATCAACAGTGTAGGTATTATTATGTGCTAGGTATTTAGTTTTGTTACTTTTTGACAAAGTTAGTTTTAATATTTTCTTTTTGTATACAGTGCCTTATTATTGATGAAGCTGACCGGATACTGGAGCAAAACTTTGAGGATGATATGAGACAAATTCTGAAGCGCCTTCCTGAGGTTCATTGGGTTATTAACTTGAATTTAAACTGTCCTATTACATATTCCCTAATGTTCAAGTTCTTTTTATTAGTAACTAGCAAATTAGTTGGGTCTTGAGAAGACAATCATCTGTTAAAAAAAGCAAGGCTTTATGGATTGGTTAAAATCCAATATTATTTGTCATAAAAGCAAAATGTGTTGTGGAATGCATCAAGTTCTTTTGTAGAGGCATAATATCACTATAAGTTATAGCTAAGGAACAAGAACATTAAATGATTTTATAATCTGTAGCAAAATATGATAACTTTCATGATATGTTGTGTTTTTTGAATCATCAAATATGTTCTAGCATCGCTACATGTATCTCTTAATAGTTGAATTGATTCTTGACCATCTTTATCTCTACGTTAATAATTGGTGTTGGGTGGTCAAGGAATGTGGTAAATTTATTTATTCATTATTGAAATGGTTAGATTTCTTAGAACCACGTTGGATAGAAGCTTATTGGCTTTATGCTTGGAGTTGATTTGGTATCACATATTGGGTTCTGAGATCACTCCTTGAAAAATAAATTGATGCTTTAGGCTAAATTTTTTACTTAATCTTAACATGTTCTAGTTTCTTTTTTACTTAATCTTAACAATCAATTGCCTTTATATAAGCATAACATTGTTTCAAGACAAAAGAGAACTTCATAGTAAAAAAAGGAAAATATGATTTTCATGAGGAAATTGTTTTTATCCTCTTAAAAATCTCTCTTAGCATTAATCGTTAGGAATTAGGATCTCTTAATAATTAAGTGGACCTCTAGTATTTTCATTTCAATGCATCAATAATTTTTTTTTTTTGGAAAAGGAGGTCACCCATAAGTCTTCTATAATTATCATGAGGGTGTAGGTAAATTATATCTGCATGCAACCATATATATGTTGTCTTCAGTGATCTTTTATCAGCAACTAAAATGCTAAATGATGGAAGAGATGAAATCGAGTGTGGGCAGATCCACTTGTAGAATTTTTTTCAAGCAAAGGAGGCGTTGAAATGATCTTCATATTGAAACTTGAATTACACTTGATATTTAAATAACCAATTAGATTTGCATGCCCTAAGTTCAAAATTAGGGATGGTAAAATGATATTCTTTTATTGGGAGTTGGGGGTGGGGTGTGTTGTTAGGGTTTATTGCCTGAATTTTGAATTTGACAAATTTCTCAATTGCTCAAATGTTTATTGACATCAAGTGGCAACATAAATTCAATGGGATGTCTTAAAAGTATTAAGTATTGGGCATATTTGAAGGTTTTATGTTGTGTTTATTATCCTTTATGTTGTCTCATCAACAATTTATCAATTTGAACCACATATTGGGAAATATGGTGGAATTTAAGTTTCTTTTATATGTGTGAGCTGTCTAGGAGTTGAAGCATTAATATCCTTAAGATATTAGGAAGACCTATAAATTTACTCATTTCGAAGAAGAAACAATTTTACTTAAAATTCCCCCTAAACATATTCCTGGAAGTTTGATTTGACATACTCTTCGCTCGAGTTATATGGGATAGAAATGGACTAGGACTCTAGGAGTTTGTGTGGTTGGTTATGCCTTCACGTTGAACTAACCATCGTATACTTTAATTAATGTTACTATCAGAGTACCAAGTCTTTTGTTATGTTTCATATTGTGTATTTTAATATCTTAATCTATGATGTAACTATTGGAGAATTCCTTTTGAGAAGGGTCTTTAAGTTTCACTGCAATCAGAAATTCTATTTTAGTTTTGAAAGTCAGTGCACTTGCATAACTTCTTTTGCCTTCTTGTGGCCCTCATAAAATTGGGGCAATTATGTTATGGCATAAATCCTTTAGAATCTTATGAATTGATTGTATTCTGTATGTATTTGTAGAGGATTAAGTATGAATAGGCCCATATAATGAATTATCCACATGTTAGTTTAAATAGTCAAAAGCTAAGATAGAGCATTTTAAGACTCTTAAGGATAAGATTGTGAAAGTTCTTATGATTAAGATTCTTGATACATCTTAAAGGTCTTTAACGTGACATGTGATACCTCATGTATAGCATCAGTGGGATTTTAAGTCTGAAGGTGTCTTTGTATTAGTGTGAAATTGAATCTACTTATCATCTAACACACATTATTTGAGGCTTTAGCATATTTGAACTTAGGCATGACAAGAAGGCCACTTAATTTTGACAGTGTCTTTATATCTTTATAGGTGGTTCATTTTAAAAAGTTGATTGGCACTTTGTAAAGTATTAGTAGTGCTTCATATTTGATACGGGACTTTGGCAAGTGCAATGTTAATTTTAGGAAATTCTCATAGATCCTTTTTCCATTCTTGTATGACTCATGGTGTAATTTTTTGTGGAAATGTTAGCAATATAATTTCACTCCATTAACCTTACCTTCGTTTATTTATTTATTTATTTTTGTAGAGACTTGATTTTGTTTATCGAGAAAAATCCTTTTGTCTTTTATACTTTATATTCATCTGGATTCTTCTTAAATTTCTTCCTTTTTTGCTTGATGTTTGATTACAAGTTCATTTGACTTGTTGAAAAGATGCGTGGACAACATGCTAAGAAGATTAGAATGCTATCGAGATGAATTTCAAGTGGTTTGCGAGGTTGAGTAGAGGAAATTAGGGAATTTCTCAGAAAGACCTTTATCTCAAGAGTTGCTTGTCTCTTTTGTTGAGAAGATTGCCGTTGAGCAGTTACAATGCCAACATAGCTCCAACAATTTAAAATCAACGTGACCTTCTTATAGCTTGCTGTAATAAATTAAACAATTCAAAATCAGCCATGATTTCCTGTAGTAAATTTTCTTGCTCTTTTATTTGTAATAGACATTCCTTATCTATATCAGGTTGTTGCAAAAGAACTTGGGATTATTTAGAATTAGGGACGTGCTAGTGAATAGATATTTTTGAATCTTACAAGAGAGACCTGAGAGAGAAACTCCGAGGAGTAAATAGGAGTGACTACAGTGAGAGGAGGAATTTCAAGGAAAAATGCTTTCTCCTCATTTTGTAATTGTTTAATTTTTTCCCTGATGAAACTATAGCTTCTCGACTCTCCAACAAGAATCCAAATTTCACCCCATACTTCCTACTTAATATGTTGGCCAGATCTTTTCAAGTGATTTGGATCAAGTTGGTGTTAGAGCGTTAGGTTTGGAGCAACCTTGGTGCATGCTGTTAGCAAAAAGCAGTTGCAAGAATATCAAAGAACCAATATTTGCCTTAGAGCTTTCAAGAAAAGGAAGACGAGGCTGTTTTGATGTCAACTCCATAAGGAGAAAATTCTTATAACGTTGCTGCCCAAGCTGCACTTCAACTAAAATGACAGTGATGATGGAGATATTGGGCAAGAAAATCCAGATGTCAAATGAAGAGCCAATCTACAAAGAGTCTCGTTATTTCAACAATGAGAAGCTTGTGAATACTTTGCAATCAAGAAGATGACTCAAACGAGGAAGATGAAGATCTTGAGCTTTTTGTCGGAGGGCATCAACAATGTTTGAAGGTTGAAGCCAAAATTATTATCCCCACATTTGATGCCTCTATGGACGTTGAAAATTTCGATACTTGGTGATATTAACTTAAAGATTTATTTGCCTTATGAGTGCCCTTTCCTAGAGTAGGTTTTGTTTGCATGCCTAAAACTCACTAAGTGTATGTGGATGTGGTGTAATACTCATCTCAAGTAGGGGCGTTAGAAAGTTGGAGGCAATTCATGATGTTACTCTACCTAGAATTCTGCCCTATAGGGGTACTATGTGGAAAGATAGCGGAAGTGATATGGGTTGCGACACCAATACTATCAAATCATAAAAAAATGTACCACCAAGTTTAAGAGACGAGCCTTGAAAATAGGCATGCTGTTGGAAAATTTCTTAGCTTTGTTGAAGAACACGATTGAGATACATTACAATATCTTCAATTTCACTCAACCTTGCCAAAGATCTTTGTTGTGGAAGCCTATTTTCTATTGCCATTAAAGAAAAAAAAAGTATCATGGCGTCAATCTTGTATGGAATAGAATGCCTCATTGTAGGAGAATCATTAAGGATTTGCTAAATTTAATACTACAACATCCTCTTATTTTAGAAATAACTTCTATTGTGATCATTTTCAAATCAACGGTCATAATAGAATTTAGTATTGAAAGCTACATCCAAAACTCTTCTTCGAGAAGTTGAAGGATACAACAACAACAACAACATCAAGCCTTTATCCCACTACGTGGGGTCGGCTACATGAATCCTTTTTCTCCATTGTGTCCTATTAAAGGTCAAATTCTCGTTTAAATCTAATAAAGAAAGGTCATTCCTAATATTTTCTAACCAGGTCTTTTTAGGTCTGCCTCTACTTTTCTTAACATAAGTCAAATCTAATACCTCTACTCTCCTAACCGGGTCATTGGAAGGCCGCCGTTTTATGTGACCAAACCATCTAAGGCGACTCTCTCTAATCTTATCTTCTACTGGAGCTACTCCAACCTTTTCACGTATATGCTCATTTCGTATCCTATCTCTAAGGGTAAAGCCACTCAACCAGAAGAAAATATAATCAAAATTCAGAATATTGAATAAAGTGTATTGCATTTACCAAATTAATTATACCTGGAGACCGTTTAGAAATGGTAGTTTTTGCTGCATTTAAACCAAAAAAACCCTCTTTATTCCGGAACAGAACAAGCTGTAAATCTGCAAGCTCCCTATCTGCTTGCTCCGGTATTAATCTTTCCATACAGTGATATAGACCAAGCTTAACCTCCGGATTTGAAGATTTTTTCTCTGAATATTGAAATTGAGGGTTAAGATAATATGCAGCTGCATGTAGATGTCGGTGTAACTGCACCTCCCACCGAGCATCAACGATATCCCAAATCTCCCTATAACTTGCCTCCTCTCCTCCCAAGTTATGTGCAATCAACTCCTTGGCCTCATCCATAGCATTATAAATAAAACCCATAGCTGGTTTCTTCTCTGCATCCACTAAGCGTAGAACTTGCACTAAGGGTCTCGTGCTCAAAATGGCATAGGTCACAGTAGCCCAAAATTTATCATTCAGAATTATCTTTCTTATCTCCTTTCCCTCACTCTTCTTCCCCCAAGCAGAGTTTAGCCATTCAGTTGATGTAAACATGGCTTCCAAAGGTTGCCTCACCTCCATCAAGCTCTGCAGTGTCAAATAGGAGGTGGCAAACCTACAGTGCCCAAATGTTAAAACTATGAACATACAGTTGGAATGATTTACAATGTAAAAAATATGAACATACCTAGTGGTTGCAGGTCGAATGATTTCTTTCTTTGAAAATTTTCTCATTAAGCTTAAGACCCAAGAGTGATTGTAGATGAATTTTGTAATCTTCTTCGCCCTAGCAAGAGCACTCTTGTGCTGAGGTAAGTCACCAAGATCCTCCAATATGAGATCAATACAATGTGCTGCGCAAGGTGTCCAATAGAGGTGTGTCCTCTTCTCCATCAACATCTGACCAGCTGCTTTGTATGCACTGGCATTATCAGTCACTACCTGGACAACCAACTGCTCTCCAATCTCCTCAATAACTCCATCAAGTAAATTAAAAATAAATGTAGCATTCTTCACCTCATCAGAAGCTTCAACAGATCTTAAGAACACTGTACCATAGGGATTGTTGACAAGGATGTTTATCAAACTCCTACTCTTCATGTCAGACCATCCATCTGACATTATAGTCACACCTGTCTCAATCCATGTTCTTTTAATCTCATCAATGGTTCGTTCGGTGTTCTGCAACTCCTCTTTTAAAATCCAAGTGCACAACTCATATATAGAAGGTGCTTTCAACCCTCTTCCATACAATCCTACAGACCGCATCATACTGAAGTAGGCAGGCGATGTAGCAACATTAAATGGTATTGCATTTTCAAAAAAGAATCTCCCAATGTCCATGCAAACCTGTCGTCGACCCTCTCTAGTACCAGCTGCAGGCATCATCTCTGCTTCTCCTCTATCTGCTCCTGCAGTAGTCATGTACTGATCCATAGGACCCCGTGCACCTCTACTATGTATAGTGGAGGAAGAGCCCTTTCCACTCTCGCTCCCAAAATAGGCACCTTGGTCGACCCTTTCATCAAATTGCTGCTGTTGTAAGTGTTTGACAGTGGTAGTTTTCTTCATGTAAGCACTTATTTCTTTCTTCACATTGTCCGGCACTTTTGCACAAGGTGCTACGTTCTTGTGAGAGCATGATAAGTGCTCCTTCATGCGGGTTACTCCGCCCTTCACAACTTTCTCACAAAAGTTGCACTTTAAATAGACATAGCTCTTCTCTCCGCCGCCAATGTCAACTTGTACACTATACTTTCAAGAAGGATCCCTCCGCAATGACGTATTCGTCTTTTCTTTACCTCTAACCATGTCTCCTAAAGCAAAAAATCAAATACACTAAAAAAAAAAAAAAAAAAACTAAACCCTAGTTTCTCTTAAACTTGCAAAATATATCCCTAAACTTAATAAAAATACCTAAAATCCAATCTGGAGTACTCCTAGAGGGTGGCCGGAAGTTTACACTTCGCCGGAGAGAGGCGGCGCCGGCGGGAGGAGCGGCGGGAAGCAAGGCCGACCGCGTGCGGGAGCTCGGAATCACGACCTGGAGCGTGCGGGAGGGAGAAAAGTCGGGTATGCTGAAGGATAGGGTTAAAGGAGAGAAAAAGACCTCATTTTAAGTGAGTGGACCCTACCCAGAGAGGCGTACGCCTCACAATGAGTTGCGCAATTGCGCCTCTGAGGCGCGCCTCAGCCCTAGTGAGGCGTACTCCTCTTGAAAGCCCAAAATTGCGTAGGCTATGAAGCGTTTTTGGGCAGAATTGCGCAAAGGCGCGCCTCAAGGCGCGCCTCTAATTGCGCAATTTTAAACAGAGCTGTCCACTACCTAACGCAACCCTCCACTTTTCTCATCCAGGATTTGGGACCTGGCAACGGTAGTGTTAAAATAAAGGATGATGAGGGAAATAATGTGGCTACTAAAATAAACAAGGAGCAATTAATAGAGTAAGTGAATCTATCATATTAAAACATTTCCTTAATAACATTATGAAGAGGAAAGAGTTGAGTTTGACATCTGACTCTAATAAATGTGAGGACTTTGTTCACCTTGCGAATGCATGTTAAGAAGTGGTTAATGTCATATTGACACGGGGAATCAAGGAACCGGAAGAACTTGATCTACATGAGCTAATTAGGAGATTGGGACTCAAGATGATTATTGACTCGAATCCTTATGCTCGTAGATGGATTCAGAAGTACTTAGAGATGCAAATTGTCTTATAAGATTTTCCATTGGAATGGTTTGTCATTATTTCTCATAAGGATGTGAGCTATACTTTAAAACCTTATATGAGGCTATGAATGCCACATTTTTTTTCAAGTTGTTGTCATCTTTGGATTCATGGGCTAATTGAAGTTGTCAATTGGAGTCTATGCAACCTCCTTAGTTTGTTACTTCGAATTTTAGTTTTAACCAACACTAAGTCTGGAGATAACACTTTGTCAATAGTAATGGGGTTGAGTCCTTTCATATGGCTATCAACTTGGTAAAACTATATATTTATCCAATTCTACTTATATCTAACACTAGTGACTTAGTGAGTTAATTGATTGAATTGCTTTTTATGCCATATGCAATAGAGACATGAAATCTTTTGATAAGATTAGTTGACAAAAATATTGGGAATGGTTGACTAAATATGACATGGCTTGAATTTGTTTGAAATTTTTTGCACAAAATTGAGTTTAACACTTCATCTAGTTATTAGATAAATGAATGGAAGAGGAATCATAAAGCTTGATCCATATGGTTGGGATATGACTAATTATGATGATGATAATGATGTTTCTTAAGGCCATCATTGGCAAACCGAACTTTAGATTTTGTTTTTTTATGCATTGTAAAGGAGATGATGGTGGGCTCATTTGTGGAGGTTGATTGATGCAGAGGAAAATTATAAATATTATTTATGAGAGCATGGAAATATATGAATCATTTTGATAATTTCATTAATTAATTAAATTATTATGATACGTTCTTTGGAAATTCCCATTCGAATTCTTATGTGAAGATTTTATTATTATTAAAATTATATTATTAAAGCATCAAATTAAATCCACCATTATAATTTTGGCCAAGGGAATACCTAGAGTCAATTTTCATCTTTAATGTTTTTATGAAAATTTATTCAAAGTGTATTTAATGCAATTTTGCACAGGAGGGAAAAGCAAGTTTCCAAGCTAAATAATAACAAAACAAATTAATTTATGTATTATTGATATGTGTTGGAGCCTCTTTCTTTCTCTCTTATTGTAATGCTATATATAGCCATTTAACTCCTTTTGAATGAGATGGAATGGAAATGGATTGCTTTTGAATGATTTTGTTCTTAAGCATGGCTAAGTGGTCTCTCTTTTGGAGAGCTTGATGATTCTTCTATAAATTTATATTTGGAACCATAATCCAAATTTTCACACTTGGATGTTATATGGCTATCTTTATCCGCCTCTCGCTACCTCTCAAACATTCGGAGTTAGAGCAAAGAAGATCCATTTGTAAACATTTGATGATGTATTCTTTTGAGTGTTTTTAAAGCGTACATACTATTGTTTTTTTTTATCTTTTCCAAAAAATTTATCTTTTTTGGCTACTTCTTCAATATTATGTAAATTTTCTTTTTCAATCTCCACACTCTTTATGCGCATCTTTGGTTTGGGCGAGGTTGGTTAGACATTTTGCATTGTGGATTTGATTAGAATTTTTTGCATTTTGTTGAAAAAGAATTGGCTAGATTGGGTTTTATTTGCATTTTTTCAGTTTTTTTTCTTATATTGCATTATGGTTCTCCGTACAACAAAACAACAATACTGAAGGAAAAACACAGTAGAAATCAACAAGAAAGGAAGAGATTTTGGGCTAATTCTCTTTGATAAAGGTACAACAAACCCTAGGTGCCATTAGGAACAACTCCAAAGAAAAACTACATCAAACACAATCACATAATGAAAACAAAATAATTAACCCTAAATAAGATCTCCTAATTCTCTCCTAAATATGAATTCAAACAAAGCCTTGTTTCCCTAAATAATTTCCTCCAAAAATTGAATTCAAATCAGCCTTCTTTTCCTAAATAAACCCCTTTCAAATTTGTATTCAAAATAGCCCTCTTTTCCTAAATAAACATTCCTAATTCCTTCCCAATCAAATCAATCCTTTTTCCCTAAACATATCTTCATAATTTCCAATCAAATCAAACCTCTTTCCTTAAATAAACATTCCTAATTTCTGCTCAATTTTGATATTCTATGGTAAGTAATTAATCCCCTTTGACCTCCACCCTCCCTCTTTGTCTTTTGTCCCCATTAGTATGGTCCACAAGGCTCGACCCATTACATCATTTCTTTCTTTTTCGTTAGCATCCATTTAATTCTCTAGGAGTATAGTGTTTGAAAAAAGGGATAAATGATCTCGAACAAAATCATAAAAAATATTTATAGAGTATGAAAATATGTGAATCATTTTGAGAGTATGGTTTAAAATTGTGCAATATGAAGCCCACATTAACCCAATTCTAGTGAAAAACAACTCAAGGTTTACGCTTTGAGTTTTTTTTATGAGGCTTGTGCCTCAGCTTGGCTGAGTCCCGTCTTGAGGTGCTCCTCGCTTAGCTGGTGTCAGGCGTACGATTTACCTATATATATTATTAAAACTTACCTAAATATTAAACTAAATCCTTGAACAAATCACACCTTAATATAACCCCGAACCGCAACAACTTCCGCTAGACTACCACGACCTCTAGCCTGCTGCCTTTGCCGTAGTCATCACCATGGTAGCCGTCGCTGAGGATCACTTAAAAGCTGCACACCACCACCACCACCTCTAAAACTTTTGGAGTATTACTCTCATCTTTATTTTGATGGCAAACTTTTATGAAAGAGGAAGATAAATTAAATAAATGATAAATAAGTAGATTGTGCGGCATTGGACTCCACAAGATGAGGCAGAGTAGATGCTAATTTGTTATGACAACGATTCAAATAAAGATCACCTTAGTGAAGACACTGTAGATGATTTCTTAGTTTTTGATGGCTATTTCAACTTTCATTAGGATTTAGAAGTGGATTAGTAGGGTATGAAAAAGAAGGAATTTGAAGTTGAACTTTATGTTATTTGATATGTTTATGTAATTCCTATATTTTATGTTGTTTTGTTCTTGTAATATTTTGATTTCAATTCTATTTTGCGCAATGTATCAATTGCCACTTTATGTTTTGTGCAATTTTTTGTTTCATATGTACGTTAATTTGCTACTTCATAGTTCAATATAAATTAATATTTTATCTTTTAACATATTATTTGGGTCTTTTATAAAAATCACTTTTAACTTTTATTTTTACTTTATACAATTTTGGATTTTGAGGCTTCCGCTTCAAAATGCCTTGAGGCTTACGCCTCTCCTCATGATCGAAAAACAACCAATTGCACAATTTTAAACCTTATTTGAGACTTCTTTAAATTAATTAAATGATTATCATATGTTCTTTGGAAATATAATATGAAGATTTTTCTATTATAAAAGATTAAAAGGTTTATTATTAAAGGTTCAAATGAAGTCTACCATTGTAATTTCGGCCAAGGGAAGATCAATAGTCAATTTCCATTTTTAAAGTTTGACTTTGGGAGCTTCCATGAAGATTAATTCCAAATTGAAAAGGGTATTATTTCAAAGTGCATTTATTACTACTTGGCCAAGGAGGGAAAATAGTTTGAAAGATAGTAATTATGAATGTAATTTTATCCTTGACAAGTTTCTAAGCTAAATGACAACAAGACATTAATTTTATGTATTTTTAATATGTTGTGAATCCCCTCTATCTTCCTCTCTTATTGTAATGCTATATAATGCCATGTATCTCGTTTTGAATTAGATAGAATAGAAAAGGATTGGTTTTGAATGATGTAGTTCTTAGGTATTTCTTGGTGGCCTTCTCCTTTAAAGAGCTTGGTGGCTCTTTTATAAATAATTATATTTGGAACATAATTTAAGCTTCCACTTGCATGTTATATGGCTATCTCCATCCACCTCACACCATCTCTCCATCACTATGGCTTCTTGTATTCTAGATGCGACTTTAATAATGATTTGTGAAGAAACTTTTATTTCTGTGTTTTTTTTTCCTTATAGTGCTTTTACTTCCAACCACCTTCCGGCTTTTAAGGCCAATAGAAACCCTAGGTTACCTGTAGATGCCATATAACTTGCCAAGGAGATGATACTATTCTCTTTTGGAGATTGGTCTTCCACTGTTGGATGATGTTTTTCAGGTGGATATATTAATGTTCGCCTTTTGAATCTTTTTTATCAAGAGAAAACTTCTCAAGAATCTCCTTTCTTACTGTATCTATCTTTTGTGATGCCATTCCAATTGATTTCAGTGGAGTTTTTTTTCATATGAAATATAAAGTTCAGTGTCCTTGTGATCAATGTGTTTTTCCAAAGAATGGAATGCAATCTTGTGATTAACGGGAGTTTGAACTTTATGAAAGATTTCTTTTCTTATTTCTTCGGAGGTTTCATGTTAACCTCGATTCTTTCTGTTGATTTTTTTTTATTCTTTCTGTTGATTTGATTTCCTTATTTCTTTTGCTTTGGTCTAATCTGTATGCTGATATATGAGTTTATTTTGGCATATCTCATAGCATCATTGCATGATATATTTATTGTTAGAGTCTGCCTCGTGTAAATGGTTTCGTTGCTCCCCCCCCCACAATTTAAAAAAAAAAACTAGCTGTTGCCCAAACAAGTACAATGACTAAGTTGAGTTAAAAGTGAATTCTTATGAAACAAATAAGTTTTATCATAACTCACTTCAAGATGACTTGAGAAATTGAGATCCATTCACTCACAGCAAAACAAATTGACCATGCATGCTCATATGATTACTCCTTGTTAGTATATGAATACTTAATTCCATAATATGCATATTAGTTCTTTTAAATTTTCTGTTACGACTTGATTATTATTTGTTCTTGAATTATGAGCTTATTGCTAATTATGTCCATGCAGGACCGCCAAACAGCTCTGTTTACAGCTACACAAACTAAGGAGGTTTATATTTGAACTTTTATTCTACTAGAACCTTTTTTTCTTCCTACATTGCTAAACTATTGGAAAGAATACCTGCAGGTTGAGGATTTTGCAAAATTAACATTCAAGGAAGCTCCTGTATACATTGGTGTTGATGATGGGAGATCAAAGGTACTTTGCAGAGTCTGTCTCTTTTCATTATTTTTTCTCTTAGTATGTCTGCTTGGAAATGACCACAAAGATTCAATAGGTTACTGTCGAAGGACTGCAGCAGGGTTACTGTGTGGTTCCAAGCAGCAAAAGATTTCTAGTTTTGTATGCTTTTTTGAAGAAGAATTTGTCAAAAAAGGTCATGGTTTTCTTCTCTTCTTGCAATTCGGTTAAGTACCATGCAGAGCTTCTCAAATATATTCAGATTGACTGTTATGATATCCATGGAAAGCAAAAGCAGCAGAAAAGGACTAGCACCTTTTTCGATTTCTGCAAGGCCAACAAGGGTATCTTGCTGTGCACTGATGTTGCAGCTCGTGGTCTTGATATTCCTTCTGTGGTTTGTTTGCTGTTGTGTTAAACTTTAACTTTTTTTTCTTGTGTAAATCAATTTTTTTGAAATTTTAAATGTTTCCTTTTGTTCTAGGACTGGATTTTGCAGTATGATCCTCCTGATGAGCCAAAGGTAATAATTTTTACTTATTTTTTATATTAAGACATAAGAGCTCATTCAGAACTCGCCATAAATAAATTATGTTTAAATTTCCATCACCCACGAGATATATTATATTACATTGAGCAGGAATATGTACACAGAGTTGGTCGAACTGCACGTGGGGAAGGTGCTGAAGGAAATGCTCTACTCTTTCTATTGCCTGAAGAGTTGAAATTTGTTTCCTATCTGATTGTATGATTGAAACTATAATTGTCCTTTTCTCACTTTCAAGTCGTATTTGCTTAACATCTTTTATTTTCTTCCTGCCAGGCAGCTAATGTACCTGTGAAGCAATACGAGTTTTCTGAAAAGAAGGTGCCAAAATTGCAGTCTCAACTGGTATTCTCATTATTCGACAATTGTGCTAATATTTTCTCAAAACCTGACGGTTTTCTTCCTAAGCTTGAGAGCTGCTTCTTCTCCACTTTTTTCTTCTTCTAAGTCTTCTACCTATTTCTTCTCTCCACAAGTTACCCCTCCATTGTATCCTTCTTCTAAAAGTGTGAGTGGTGTTGTTGGCCGGTTTGTCGGTATTTGTCGAAGGAGTTGTGACGGCTGTTGGATCAAGATTGTTGTGGTGGTCCATTGGTTTGCATGTTCTTTAGAGTACCTTATTTTCCTATTTTATCGATACATGTGAGGTGACCACTTGTTGGTTGTTCTGAGGGTATTTTCTTTAATTTAAGTTTTTGTTCATTTCTAAATCTTTTTTAAAGTTTTTTTGCATCTGGTTGGATTTTTGTCGGTGATCTGTTCACTTATTTTGTATTGAATCGTGTCCTGTTTTCTCTTAAGAGTTATCCTTTGAGTTTAGAACTTTTGGATCCCATCTATTATATTTGTACCATGATTTACTCGGTTCTTCATGAAATTATTCTGTTATGAATATTCTGCAGGAGAAAGTTGTCGGGGAGAACTACTACCTCCTGCAGTCAGCTAAAGAGGCGTATAGGTCCTACATATTAGCATACAATTCACACTCCATGAAGCAAATATTTAATGTACACCATCTCAATCTTCAGGTACTTGAAAATAACTTCATATATAAACTACATGAGGTTTCTTTTTCAAAATTTCTGCAGAAATATTAACATTGAAGCCTAGTAGTACTCCTTTCTCCGTGATTGGTCAGATGACATTCCCAGGGCCTCATTTGTGACAAATTATTGTGTGCAGAGACCGCACACAAGCTTACGTTCGAATTTGATGCTTCTGCTATTTTTTTGTAAATGCAAAAATACAGTAAAAGCGCATCAAATATCTTACTAATTGAGTATTTGCTGCACTTTTGGAAATATTCAACAAAAGCACATTAAAAGGGCAGCTAATACGTAATTAAAATTATATATTAGTTGCCTTTTACAATAATACAGCAAAAGCATAGTAAAAGCACAACAAATTCGAACTTAAGATTGCGTGCAGTCTCCGCACAGAATAATTTGCACTCATTTGTTAGCAATTATATGGTTTGCATCAACAGATTTTTCAAATGAGTTTCTTATGAAAACAAAATCTGTTTCACGCCTGAATTTTACTGCTGGATACTATATACTCTTTTTTCCCTCCTGTATTAGTTTCTTGAGTATGAATGCCATTATATTATAGACTTCGCTACTATTCATAAAAGGAAATTTTTTCAGCCTGCATGAGATTGATTGGAAATTTGATTAATTTTACAGGACGTTGCTGCATCGTTTTGCTTTAAGACACCTCCAAAAATAAATCTGAACTTGGAGAGTAGTGCGTCCAAGTTTAGGAAGAAGATGCGGAGAGTGAATGGCCGTTCTGTCAATGCATATAGGAGTGAAGGAGGTGATAAAAGACAATTTGTTAGGCTTTAAAAATGTCATTGTTTATTTATGTAGCCCAAACCAAATGAATTCTTTAATTGTTATAAATCTTTTAATTCCTTTGAATAAAAAGCTTAATGAATTAGATTTTGACATCCTGTTTTATAGTAAATGATTTTTTGATGGTTACGATTTTGAAGATTTTAGATTTACTTAACGGTTTCTATTTTAGTTTGCTATTGTGCTTTCTTTTCTTGATCTTTTTTTTTTTTTTGCTTGCTTGGAACTGTACAATTCTTATGTCTGGGAGTAATTATTAGGTGCAGACACCACACCCAGAGGTGCGCCCGAATTATTGGATGCACTGCGTACGTTCAGCGTACGCTCTGTTTACATTCTGCGTATGTTCTGCTTATACTGTGTATTTGTAGATACACAACAAATATGCAGTAATTCCTCACAATTAAATATTTGTTGCTTATTTACTGCAATACGCATTGAGTATAGGCAGAGCTTAAGCATAAAATACGCAGTATCTGGTTGCACCTCTAGGTGCGGTGTCCGCACCTAATAATTACTTTGTCTTGAGGCCAAGCAAACATTTTATCTTTTTACTTTCTTAGCAGTAATATGTAGCATAAGAAGCATTCTATTATGGATTTAACAAAGCTTGCACAAACTCTATTGGCTCTGTTTGGAATGGCTGTGAAGTTGCTATTAGAAAAATAATATAACTATTCTGGTTGCAAAAAATAAAATTTCATCATAAAATTTTCAAAAGAGCAATGAAAAAGCAATTTGCAAGTAATTGTGAAAAAAAATATTTATAATTACTATTTGAAAAACAGAAAAGTTTGGAAACTGTCTCAAACTTACCCTTATTTTCAAAGTTATCATAGTTAGTCTTTTAAAGTTATAGAAACACAACATTTAAAAGTTCATGATGGTTCATTGTCATGCTATCCTATGAATCTTGCCATTCAGACATTATTCAATCATACCATTTAATATAGGTGAGAAGCTATGAAGAAAAACATTTCTAACATTCTATAAATAAAAACTTAAAAAGGCTCTAATATCAGTGTAAGAACAAGGCGTTTGTATTGATTTTTAGACTTCGTCTGAAATGGCTTACTAAAAAATTATATTAGCAAATAGTAAAAATATATCACAAATGAAACTTTAGTCTCGAGCACGCCATCCTCCTTAATAATATTATCTTTCTTTAAATAAATTATTGTGCAGTCATCTGACCGTCCAGAGGTCAATCAGGATATGTCACATCATTTGATACACAATGGTAATTGATACACAATAAATTAGTGAAGTGGCCCATGACGGCACGTAATAATTTCGCCTTTCCTTGACACCTTGGCATTCCTGCAGCTCTTTCATAAGGGTCTCAAGCCTTTTTATAGAGGTGAGCCAGTGGATAAAAAGGCAATGTCTGCCTATGAAAGGTGCTAGCTCAAGAGTTCTATATTACCTTCAGTGTCAAAATCGTATAAAATCTATTTCTCATTTTCTTGAATATATTGCAATTATTAAAGAACTAATAAAAAACGAATAAAAAAGTATTAAAAAAAAATCTAATGTATTAAGAAATTCTTTGAATATACCACCTCTTCAAGTAAAATACGTCGATAGTAAGAGAAAAATTCACACTGAGACCTGCATACCCTATAGTGGAACTATATACAGAAAAGTGTTTATTTGGGAAAGATATGATATTCAATTAATATACTAAATTGAATATTGATTATTTCCTCATGTTGATTTAATTAGGATTTAATTAGGGATTAGCTAATGAAGCTTTTTCCTAATCTATATCTCAAATCTATAAATAAAGCCTTAGAGGCTGTTGTTGCTATATGAAAGCACAAGAGAGAGCTTGAGAGTATTGTAATCACTATTGTTCTTCATTATAGTAAACGTAGGCATCTTCGCCAAACCACGGAAATCACTGTATTTTTTGTGTTGTTTATTGTGTGATTTTTATTTCCGATGTTTGTACCAAAAAAAAAAAAAAGAGTAGGCGAATGTCTCCATTTAGAAGGATTGAAGTTGAGCTATCCCACAAATTTAATTCCCTATGCTAGAACTATGGTTTTCTCTAAAAATGAATTTTCTTTATTTAGATGGAGTAGAATTGGAGGGAATTTTCACTCATCTTTGAACCTCTAATTTTTTTCATAATGGGGAGTTAATTATCGCATAAGTTGGGTGTAGCTCATATAATAGATGGTGGTTGGTGCAACATAATATTTTTGGTGCAACAATGCATAGATGGTGCAGAAGAAAGTTCTCCCAAATTTATCGAAATTATGCAATATGTTGATTTTCTATTTTGGAGTACATTTCTCGCTTATTTTTTGCGCCTCTTCACATAATTTTGATTTGATTTTTATTAGAATCTCATAATTGGAGCCCCGTGGCGGCGCTATCCTAAAACCAACTCCCAAACAAAAACAATATTAAGTTAATGTCTAGGCTCCAGCCCTACACCTCCTTTCATATGAAGAATATTATGAGTCTATTATATCATTTTTCGAGTGATATTTTAACCATTTTAGCTTAAATTTTTAAAACACTCCATTGAATAGCTCATGTTAATTCCCTTGATTATAAATTATTCTTTTATTAAGTACAGTAAAGATGTCAGCATTGAATGATCTTGGACTCATTTCTCTAGTGGAGATTCTTTTTGACCGTAAGCACGCAATATTAAAAAATCATTTGATTATTCAATAAATATTACGAAATTTCTAATCATATTTTAAATATTTGATTTGCGCTCATCTCCACTCAAATCCGCATAAAATCTAAATTAAACTCTAAAAAATTTTCAACATTAGGCTTCGTTTGATCGGAAGTTTTTTATGCTTATTCCGTTTTAAAACGACAAATTTATTTCTTCTTTACTGTTTGGTTCGTCAAATCACGTTCTAAATAACTCCTTTTCTTTTATTTTTCTATTGTTTTGAGAAAACTTTTTATATATACTTCTCCGTTAGAAAATTCTATTTTCTAAATCAATATTTCTTAAAATTGTCTTTTACAAAAGTACCAAATAATCAACCGAAGCCTTAATATAGATTGAGATTCATTTTTCGTAAACTGAGTTTTTTTATGAATCAAAAATAACTTTCTGATGGAGCAGTGGGGCCCGGGGAGGTTGATAAGAGATATTAATTTCCTTGGAGAAGACGGTCACAACTAAGGTATTGGAAAACTCTGTTGATTCCAAGTTGGTGGCTAAGAATAGTTTTGGATTATCCAACAAATAAATCTTCGAAATGCCTGATTTCGACGACTATGGAAGAAGTTAGAACAGGACGATTCCAATAGGAATGCTGAATTTTCTGGCCTTTTCGGCGTGTGCATGCATGCAGTAATTACGTGGAGTTCTCAAACTGATGTGCGAAATTTATTTCCGTAATTACATACAAAAATTCCTATGTTGCTACTCCCAAATCTCAAAAATGTATTTTGATATTTACAATGGAAGAGATAGAAAGGAAGAGAGAGAGAGAGAAAGAGATGATGAGAGAGAATATTTAGTTATATTCATGTCATCTTAAAATACATCAATAATTTTGCTCGAAATTCATAGATTCTCAATGAAGCTCCACTAAAATTGATGAAGAGACTTCAAAATTTGCTTCTTCTTTTTTTTTTTTCGCATAACCGTATAGTGATGCGGTCCAGTGTACCTAGTGTTGTGATGCTGTGTTGTTTGTTTGAGCAGGGCGTTACGACGTTTCAGACCCCGACGTTGTGGTCTTCTCAAGTAAATTGGAGATAGAGTGGAGCGCTACAACGCTCCAAATACGCCACCGCGACGCTATGAGGCTAGTTAGGTTGGTTCTTTTTTATTTTTATGAAGGCTGCATCCCTTGATGGTTTTATTGGATTACTTTTTATTAGTTCTAATATGAGAATGGATGCATGAGTGACGAGGGACAATGAGAGAGTGAGGAAGGATCTGCATTATTTCTTCCAAATTTTTATAGCAATTTTTTTGGTGTGATGTGACTCTATAGTTTTTTTCTCCGATTTCTAATTTTTTTACATTAAATTCTAGCGTTCTTTCTTTATGATGTGATTGTCTATTTCTTATTTGTTTCACAACGTAATTTTACTTCTTCAATAAGTGTATGCTAGAAATAATATTAAATAGTCTTAAGTTATTTGATAGGTCTAAAAAATCAAAGCAAGGTTTATTTGGGACAACTTAGTGGGTTAATAAGCTAGGTCAAGAAATTTTTTACAGTGTATGAAATTGTTTTTTTTTTCCTTTTATTAACATTAAAAAAAAAAAGTTAGTAACATTAAAAAAATAGTTAGTCAGAGTGTATGAAATTGTTCCTTTTATTGAAGGCATGTTTGGTATCACTTTCTATTTTCATTTTTATTAAACATGTTAATAAGAAAAAAAAATTTGGTGAGTTATTTTTATAAATGAATAGATTTATTTTTAAAGAAATCCAAAAACAAAATTTAGGTGTTCTATATATTTTAAAAACAATTTTTTACTCACTCGCACGCACTACTCTCATACTTTGATATTTAAATAAACCAATTGTAACATGGACAATTATTTGTTGGAAGGTTGGGATAAATATATGACATAATGCAAAATATTTGGTACATGGTAGTTGAACTCTTGCATGATTTTGGTCAGATAAAATGGCGGCGTTCCGATGACCCGGTTAGAAAAGTAGAGGTATTAGATTTGTTTTATGTTAAGAAAGGTAAACTAAAAAGACTTGGTTATAAAATATTAGAAATAATATTTTTTTATTAGATTTAAATAAAAATTTGACTTTTAACAGAACATAATGGAGAAAAAGAATTCATATGTCTATCCCACATATCCCATGTAGTGGGACAAAGGCTTGATGATATTGTTGCTGTTGCTATTGTTGTTAGTTGAACTCTTGAATGACAAAGAAGGGCATAAATTCCCATCAAAATTTTTTGGGTGAAGGTCGACATAAAAGTACATATTTTGTTTATAACAAGAGATACTTTCTCCTCAAATCTATGCTTTGACCTTCCCTTAATATAATTAGAGCTCCGACTAAGAGGTTGATTATGAATAGTGAATTCTTGTACTACCTCAACTAAGAGTGTTGGAAAAATAAGAGGCTAGGGCTAATCTACTCTATGAAGAGGGAAGAGTGAGACAATCACAAATATACTTATCATCAAGACAAAAAGATAAGATATTTATAGTGATTTGGTTATATATTTTATATCTACCATCAAGACTACAAAAAATGACTATCATGAATAACTTGAATACTTGCTAGCACATATAATGAGTCACAAAGAGCTCCTTTTTCCAATATTTTACAATATATAAATACAATAATATAAAGAGATAGAGAAATCGATTAACGAGGCAACTAATTAGAAGAGAAGAACCTCAAAGATGGAATCCTCATATAGTCTAAAGGCTTCGTTTGGGACGACTTTTTTACTGTTTCTTAAAACAACTTTTTAGTACAATACATCTTAAAGTTGCTTTTTATTACAAATTTTTTTTACTTAAAAACTGCTTTAATAAGCAGTAAGAAAGCCGCTACAAATGAAGCCTAAGGTTCTGTTTGAAATGACTTTCTTATCATTTTTTAAAACAGTTTTATAGTACAAATATTTATTGAATTAGAAATTTTATACAAACAAATTATTTTAGAAAATAATAAGAAAGTCATCCAAAATAAAGCCTAAGTTTCTTATAGATATATGCAATCAATATGAGATGTAGGATTGCCCAATTTACACTCGAACTTGTTTTTATTATATGTTTAAATATAAATAAAAACCTAATCTCAAAGGAATCCTAATAATTCTCTCCCGATATAAGTTAGTGGAAGAGTTTATGAAGATGATTAAAAAAAACTGAATTCTGAAATAAAAGTATAATAAAATTTTAAATACTTTGTATACATTACGGACAAACCCGTCAAGAATTTTACGAGCATAGAATTCTCAATGTAAATGAATTTGCAAATAACTCCCCTGAAACCTCATAAATGACCAATCTATTACAAATAATTAACTTAAGATATTGCAAATAACTAAACATTTCTTTACTTTTCTTCTATTACGGAAAGTATTTTCTCCTTTTTGGACGGTTTTTCTATTGCTTCTTAAAGCTATTTTTTTAGTAAAAAAATTTATAGTAAAAAACTGAAAAGTATCCCAAATGAAGCTTTGCGACTGCTTTATTTCTAATTCCTAAAGTAAAATTTTAGTACAAAATTTTTTAATTTTGTATTAAAAATTTACTTTAAAAAGAAAAAAAAAAAGCTTATTAAACGAAGCCTTAACTTCAAAATTCGAACTTCTTATATACGGCCTTTGAAATCGCGTTTTAATTTTATGAAAAACTTGCCCCCTACCTCCCTTTCGCCGTCGTCTCCCTTTGGTTTTCATATGGCCCTTCCACTGCTCATGCTTCTCATCCTTTCCACGCTGGCCCTCCATCCCCACCGCTCCTCCGCTGCCGACTCCCTTTCAGGAAACCAGTCCCTCTCCGGCGATCAGAAGCTCACATCCGAAGGAGGTAAATTTGTTTTCGGCTTCTTCCCATTAGGAAACTCCCCTAAAAGATACTACATAGGTATCTGGTACAACACCAACATGGTTTCCAAACTCACTCCTGTCTGGGTAGGGAACAGGGACACCCCTGTCCTTGATTTGTCCTCCACGGAGCTCAAGCTCTCTAAAGATGGCAACCTCGTCCTCCTCAACCAGTCAAAATCCCTAATTTGGTCAACAGAAACCAATATTACCGCCAATTCCACCATGGCGGTGCTCCTCGATTCCGGTAATTTGGTTCTCCAAGATAGCTCCGATACCTCTCGTATCCTTTGGCAGAGCATTGACCACCCCACAGACACCTGGCTTCCCGGCGGCAAAGTTGGACTCAATAAGCTTACCGGTGAGAACCAGCACCTGACAGCTTGGAAGAGTCTTGAGGACCCTGCTCACGGACTTTTCTACCTTGAAATCGACCCGAGCGGGAGCAGTCAGTACTTCATCCTGTGGAATGGCACCAAAAATTACTGGTCTAGTGGCGACTGGAATGGGAAAATCTTTAGTGGTGTCCCGGAGATGACCTCTAATTATATATATAATTTTCAGTATGTAAGCAATGCCTCTGCGAACTACTTCACTTACACAGTTAATACAGATGACGTCATATCAAGGTTCACCATGGATTACTCGGGGCAGATCAAGCAATGGACTTGGCTTTCTGATGCGCAGAACTGGATTTTGTTCTGGTCCCAGCCAAGAGAACAGTGCGAGGTGTATGCGCTTTGCGGATCTTTCGGTAGCTGCAATGAAAACAATTCGCCATCTTGTGGTTGTATTAAGGGTTTCAGTGAGAGGTCACCCGGGGAGTGGCATTTGGGTGATCAAAGTGGAGGCTGTGCGAGGAATACCCCATTGCAATGCGGAGGAAGTAGTTCGGCAGGAACAGAGAAGGATAAGTTTTATCAGATGGACAGTGTGAGGTTGCCTGATAACCCTGAGACTATGGAGGCAGGGAGCAGTTCAGATTGTGAATCAACTTGCTTGTATAATTGTTCATGCACAGCTTACTCTTATAGTTCTAAATGCTCGTTGTGGTATGGAAATTTGCTTAACATCCAAGAACAATATAATGGATATGATCAATCCACTCTTTTCCTCCGCCTGGCTGCATCCGAGCTTCCAAGTTCTTCGAGCAAGAGCAATAAAGGAGGAATTATTGGTGCAGCTGCTGGTGGTGCCATAGGGTTTTTGGCCCTGTTGGCTCTTACTTGGCTGGTAATTTTGAGACGACAGCGGAGGAGAATAATCGGTGCAGCAAAAGCTGCAGCAGATGGCGTTTTGGTCGCATTCCGATACAGCGATTTGCGGCGTGTTACTACAAATTTCTCAGAGAAACTTGGCAGTGGAGGGTTTGGATCAGTGTATAAAGGGTCCCTACCAGATTCAACCTTCATTGCTGTAAAGAAGCTAATAAATCTCAATCAAGGGGAGAAGCAGTTTCGGGCTGAGATTGGCACGATTGGAACAATACAGCACATCAACCTGATTCGCCTTCGAGGTTTTTGTGCTGATCAAAACAATAAATGTTTGGTCTACGAATTCATGCCAAATAGTTCACTTGATGCTCATCTTTTTCATGGCAGTAAAACTGATTTAGATTGGGGTAAAAGGTATCTTATTGCTCTCGGAACTGCTCGAGGCCTGGTTTATCTCCATGAGAAGTGTAGGGACTGCATCATACACTGTGATATTAAGCCAGAGAACATCCTATTGGATGCTTCTTTTATTCCAAAAGTGGCAGACTTTGGCCTTGCAAAACTTCTCGGCCGGGATTTGAGTCGGGTTTTGACAACAATGAGAGGAACAAGAGGATATCTTGCACCAGAGTGGATCTCTGGCGTTGCTATCACTGCGAAGGCAGATGTTTATAGCTATGGAATGATGCTATTTGAAATTATATCGGGTAAGAGAAACACAGACCACTGGGAGGATAATAAAAATGGCTTCTTTCCTGCTTCTGCTATGAAAAAATTAATGGCTGGTGATATTCGTAGTTTGTTAGATCCGAGGTTGGAAGGTGTTGCTGAGATTGAAGAGGTGGAGACAGCTTGTAAAGTTGCTTATTGGTGCATTCAGGATGAAGAGATGTCTAGGCCAACTATGGAGCAGGTGGTACAGATGCTTGAGGGAACAATGGAGATTATCATGCCTCCAGTTCCAAAATCGCTTCAGCTTTATTCGGGGCAACAGGAACGAATTGTATTCTTCTCAGATTCAACGGTTGATCAGAGCAACCAGACACAAAGCACATTTTCCTCAAGTCCTGGAAGGAGTTCAAATTCTGCAAGTTTGAAGGAGTAAGCTAAGGGGAACCATAAGGACTACACATTGATTAATTGAGTTTGAGATGTTTTCTAGAAGTAGTTTTACAGATTTAAGCTTCTACTGTTAATTTCTCCATGCTGTCTGTTAGAAAATATGATCCAATTTTTATGTTCTTTCTTTTGCTGTTTGATTAAATAGGTGGTAAGTAGAGTTTGGCTTGTTAGGTGATTTCTTTAGTTTCTTGTATAGCCTCTTTTGCTACATATTTTTATGCATGAGTTTTCTGTAACCTGTATAAATACCAAGAAAATGAATAATAATGTGGCTGATAAGATTTCCCATTTTCGGTGTTCAATACGAGTGCCATTTATTTGCATTCGGTTCTTGAAAGTTTTGCTTGGCAATACAGGTTATGAGTTTTTCTCGATCCAGCATCTCCTACACGCTCATCGCTCGTGTCAGAAGCCATATACTCAAACTGGGCTTTTGTATGTCTTGAGGGCAATGTGTGGTTTAGTGCTCAATTTTATAAATATACTGTAGAAGGAGATGATTCTTGAAGAAGAAGACAGAGAGATAGTGAAGGAAATGAAGAAATATTATTATTACACATCTATTACAGCCATAGGTGTTCGGTCTATTAAATAGACCCTGGTTGGCACGGATGCAAGAAGACATCCACCAATGCTTTGCTAACACGTCATAAAGGTATAAAAGATGTCGGTACAATTGCTCTTAAGTTGTTTCTTCTAACACCCCCTGCAAGCTGATGGGTCTTGCATGACCGTCAGTTTGTTGCGTAGAAGTTGAAACCGCCGAGTGGATAAAGATTTTGTGAGAATGTCGGCGATTTGGTCCACCGTGCTGATGGGTAGGATGCAGATGTTGTTGCGGTGGATGTGATCCCGTATGAATTGGTGATCGATCTCAATATGTTTTGTACGCGCATGAAACACAGGGTTGTTGGCTAAAGCAATTGCCGAGGTGTTGTCGCAAAAGATAGTGGTCGGTGAATCTTGTGGAATTTGGAATTCATGTAGTAGTCGTCGAGTCCAAATGAGGTCCGCCGTGAGCGCTACAAGGGCCCTGTACTCTGACTATGTCGAGGATCGTGCTACTGTGTTTTGCTTCTTGACCGCCCAAGAGATAATCGTGTCGCCAAGGAAAGAGCAGAATCCGGTTGTAGATTTCCGCGAAATTGGATCGCTCGCCCAGTCGGCATCTGAATAGGAAGTGAGACGCAGATTAGATGTAGTGATAGGAATGCCAAAGTCTAATGTACCTTTGATGTATCGAAGTAGACGTTTGAGCATGTATGCGTGCTTCGGTTGCGGATCGTGCATGTGTTGAGAGAGTTGATTGATGCTGAATGCGATGTCTGGCCGGGTTATGGTAAGGTATTGCAGCGAACTCGTGAGCCTTCAGTATAAATTGACGTCCTGAAGAGCTGAGTCTGTGGGCACGACTTCGGGCCACTTTGTGCACAATGGATTGGCTAGAGGATTGCAGCTGGAGAGGTCCGCCTGATGCAGGATTTGAGCCGCGTAATGTTGTTGTGATAGAAAGACCGTGTTCGCATGGCGTTGGATCTTGATACTAAGGAACTCAGTTGCTGTACCGAGATCTTTCATGGAAAATTCTTGATGAAGCTTTGCAATGATATCATTGATGGCATTCTTATCATTACCCGTGATAAGTATCTCATCAACGTATACCAGAAGATAAATGCTAGAGTTGTTTTTGTGATACATGAGTACAGAGGGATCCGATTGACTGTGGGCGAAGCTAAGAGAGACGAGGAAAGTAGTGAAAGTGTTGTACCATTGTCGTGATGCCTGCTTGAGTCCGTAAATGGATTTTTGTAGATGGTAGACGTACTCCGGATTCATAGCGTCTTCAAACCCTCTTGGTTGTGCCATATACACGGTCTCGGATAGATGACCGTGTAAAAATGCATTGGCGACGTCTAACTGCTGAACCGGCCAGTTGTGGTGGATAGCGATTGTAAGAAGTATTCGTATTGTTGGAAGTTTAGCGACCGGGCTGAACGTCTCCGTGTAGTCTAGCCCGTACTCCTGATGATTACCTTGAGCAACAAGGCGAGCTTTGAATTTGACTATGGAGCCGTCAGTGTTGCGCTTGGTTCGGAACGTCCATTTGCACCCTAATATGGATGCATTTAGGGTGCCCTGCTTTTGTAACGCAAGAAATTCAGCAGCCATTGCATTTCTCCATTCGGGTTTCTTGGCTGCTTCGATATAAGACGTAGGGTCAGAACGGGCTTCACTGGGCGTATATTGGTGAAGCAAGTTGAGCCGGTGTGGTTTCTTGAGTGATCCAGTCTTACTCCTTGTTACCATATGATGAGTTTGGCCAGCATTGGTAGACTGCAGCTGACGATGAGGTATAGTCTGGTCTGAGCTCGATGGTTGTTGTGCGGACAGACTGGATGGTGTGGAGTCCAGCTGAATTGGAGAGGTTGTGTGTATAGGCTGAGATGTTTGAGGAGTTGTAGTTGGCGTAGCAGAATTGGGAAGTTGGCTTACGGAGGCTGGAGTCAGCAAGAACGGGGATGTTGTCGTGGGAGTGGTGAGTTGCGACTGAGAAGACTTGACAAAGGGAAAGACTTGTTCATTAAATGTAAGATTGCGAGAAATAGTGATTTTATTCGTGTGCAGATTAAGGCAACGATAGTCTTTATATGTATCCGAGTACCCGATGAAGACATGAGGTTGAGCGGTGGGCTGAAGTTTGTGCCGGGATTGAGCTGGGATAAGCGGAAAACATTCAGAACCGAATGTTCTCAAGTGAGTATATAACGGTTTGCTTTTGTGAAATACTTCGAACGGAGATAGGTTCTTGAGCGTGGGAGAGGGCAGCCGGTTGATTAAATAGGTTGCCGTGAGTACCGCGTCCGGCCAATAGCTGTAAGGAACAGATGCCGTGTGGAGCAGCATACGAGTGGTCTTGATGATGTGCATGTGCTTTCGCTCAGCCGGATCGTTTTGTTCTGGAGTGTAAGGACACGAGATTTCGTGTTGAATGTCGTTCTGACGAAGAAAGTTGGCAAAATTCGTGTTGACATATTCAAGTCCGCCGTCCGTCCGAAAGCTCTTAATGCGATGTTCTGTATATTTTTCAACTTGAAGTTTAAAGTTAACCAAGGACTCAAACACCTCGGATTATTTTCGTAACGGAAAATGCCAGGTGAATCTAGAAAAATCGTCTATAAAAATAACATAGAATTTGTAGCCTTGGTTGGAAAGAATGGGAGCAGACCCCCATACATCAGAATGAATTAAAGCTAGCGGTGTATTTTGACGATTATTCGAGTTATCAAATACAAGCTTATGTCCTTTAGACATATTGCAAGACACAATTTGTAAAAGATTTTCCTATGTTTAAGAGCGGATTACAAGAAGAAAGTAAATCTAGAATTCCATTGTGTGGGTGCCCAAGACGATGATGCCAAGGGGCGGCCAAACTGGTGGAGGCCGTGAGCACCTTATTCTTCGGTGTCGTGACCGCTGGCATGGTGTAGAGACCACCATTACACGGTCCTTGAAACAGAACTTTGTGTGTCGTCAAATCCTTCAAGACAAAACCGGTAGGATCAAACACAATAGCAATGTTATTATCTTTAGTGAGTTGAGAGATTGATAAAAGATTGTAATGAATAGATGGTGAATTAAAAATGTGAGATAGTTTTAGCTTACGAGACGGGGTCGGGAGAATACCCGCCCCGGTATTTGCTATACCGACAGTGCTCTCGTCTCAAATGGTCACCGTATCCGCCCCATGATATTGCTGTGAGAAGGAAAGATTGTATAGTGAGTTCGTAAGGTGTGCAGAAGCCCCCGAATCCAAGAACCAGTTTGTGTTGGAGGTGTCTGTTTGGGCAGCAAATGCAATGTTCTGCTGTCATGACGAGGGCGTGTACTGTGTGTTCAGACGGTGCCAGCAGTTTTGGGCGGAGTGACCTCGCTTGAGGCATATTTGACAGATTACCGGAGCAGAGTTGGCGGTTATTGGATTGCTAGATTGAGTGGTAGAACTTCGACCCCTGCTTCTACGCCCACGACCTCTATAAGAGAAGAGAGTCATGTTAGGATCAGTTGCCAGTGCAGATCGGATAGCTTCAGCTGCAAGATTAACCTCTTCACTCAAGAGAAGAGGGTATAGCTGATCTAAGGAGATCGGGGTAAGCATAGTTCTGATGGCGATTTTGAAAGATTTGTAAGTGGGAGGAAGTTCGTTGAGAATGTAAAGAATGATATCTTCGGTGTCGATTGTGGAGCCGACAGAGGCGATTTGATCCACTAGGGATTTGATTTCGGTCAGGTATTGATTCATAGTTGAATTCTTGAGAGAAATGTGGTGAAGATCATTCTTGAGTTGAATGACTTTCAAACGATTTGTTGATTGGAACCGAAGCTCCAAGGTTTGCCAGATTGCCGCTGTGGTGTCCAGCGAAATGACATACGGAAGAACGGTGGGCGAGATCGTCGAGCAAATGGAGGCATAAATGTTTTGGTCAGTGAGTAGCCACTATGCATACGCCGGATTGTCTGTAGATGAGCCGCCGGATGATCGAAGTATTTGATCTGGCGGAGGGACGGATGAGTCAAGAAACGACTGGAATCCATTAGCCCGAATGATCTTTAGAATCTGGAATTTCCAGATTGAGTAGTTTTCCGGTGATAGCTGGAGAGACACGATGTTCTTGATATTCGATACTAGGAACTTCAGTGTCGACGAAATGATTGGGTCAAGTTCGTCGTTACCGGTGGTAGTCCGATTGGCCGTCGCCTCCGAGGTGGCCGATTGAGACATAGCGAGAGGAGGATCGGTACCTATTCTGATACCATGTGGAAGGAGATTATTCTTGAAGAAGAAGACAGAGAGATAGTGAAGGAAATGAAGAAATATTATTATTACACATCTATTGCAGCCATAGGTGTTCAGTCTATTAAATAGACCCTGGTTGGTACAGATGCAAGAAGCCATCCACCAATGCTTTGCTTACACGTCATAAAGGTATACAAGATGTCGGTACAATTGCTCTTAAGTTGTTCTTCTAACATATACTATAGTTAAATGTCTGATTTCTAGCATTCTCCAATCAGCTTTAAATTAAAATAAAAATTCTGAATCGCGTCAACCGGCGGACGCCTTTCCGGAAAACGGCCAACCAAAGCGAAACCAAAAGGTGCCGCAAGGGAACAAATTTCTTCCTCGTAAATCAACAGAGCCGGCAAACCACGATGAGAAGAAACACATAACTCAGGAAAAGTAGAAGAACTACCAGCTAAAGCGTCTTTAAAAGATAAAGGCGCAGCAT